CGATCTTTTCAGTGAATTGTCTAGGAGCTAAAAAGGAGGAGACGCAGAACTGTTGCATTACATGAAAAGGTTTAAAATAATTTCAACTCCAACTGAAACCCTCAGAAAACTTCCTTCCCACTTGGCCGCCGTGCTGCAGCCTCAGGGGTGCCGCTGCTCTGCCCGCACAGGCCCAGGGGAGCCTGAATCAGTCATGACATGGAAACATGGGGAGAGACAGCCAGCAGCAAGAGAGGAGAGCCAGGAGCCGGAGCGAACAACGCGAGGTGGGAGCTGCTCTACGGAAGCGCAAGATGCGGACAGGGCCCTGTGTCCTGGCAGAACCGGGGCTGGGGCTGTGCCTGCATCTCAAACCCTCCCCTCGAACAGCGAAGGAGACCCAGAGAGGAGCAGCCCTGTCCTCTGGCAGCTGGCTGGACATCACAGTGCCATTAGGCTGGACCAGAAAGGATGCCGTAAGAGCGGTGTGGGAACCTGTGGCAGGGGCAGGCGACAGGCGCTTCACTGGTCCCAGCAGCTCCCGTCCGCAGTGCTGCCAGCACCTCCGTGGCACGAACTCCAGGCCTCACCAGGCTGGGTCAGAGCAGTGTCCAGCTGGCCCCGGAGCTCCTGTCCCAGCCGTGCCCCACGTCAGGTCCCTCAGAGGAAGGGGTCAGGAGCGTGGCAGCGGCAGCAGAGAGCAGCCTGTCACTGACCCTGATGGCTGGAGGTGCTGTACGTGGGGACAGCACCAGGGCAGAAGCAGAAGCAGAAGCAGGGCGATTCAAGCTGCAGGATGGGGCCATGGATAATGTTCGGCTGGGAATCAGGTCTTCACCTCTCGATCGGAGCAGAGGGGAAAGCTTTCACGTACCAAAATGGAGCTGAACACGCTGATGACAGGGATCACGTGGTACAGCGCCAGCAATGGCAGGGGCCTGGTCTTGCCACCCAGCAGACCCCTGCCCGCCCTGCATCCCATGGCAGGGGCTCACTTTCCTCCACAACGACTGTCTAGGCTCACTTGAGGCATTCGCGTGAATAGTTTGAATGGCCACTGCCCTGGCTCATGCTGTGGCCTTGGCCTCTGTGGCATCCTGTGGCAAGGAGCTCCACGGCTGGGGGCAGCTGGGACGTGTGAGACACTCTCCCTTCCACCCGTTCTGATTTTCCACCTGATCCTTTCCCTGCCCTGCCCTGCCCTGCGCTGCGCTGTGCGACGGGCTGGACATGGGGGATGAGCAGGGCTCTGCACTGTCACACAAGAGTGTCTGAGCTGGGGGCAGATGTGATTTGACCCGATTCAGTCCACAGGAGCAAAACCCCCGAGGGCTGCCAGAACGTGGAGACCAGCCCTCCAGCACCTGCTGGAGCCAGTGTGCTCAGAGGGGCAGAGGTGGGCATGCAGCGTCGGAGGAAAACCAGGGAGTCCTCCAGGCCCAGGGCTCTCTAGACATTTCCCATCTATTCCCTGAGACACCAGCCCATCCCTGCCTGTCTTGTGGGCTCCTGTTGACTCACCGGGCCGCCCTCCACATGGCTCGTTTCTCTGCCTCCAGCGCCCGGCGCTCGGCTGGAGACAGCTCCTTGTCTTGGCTGCTCAGGAGCTCCGGGCTCTGCATCCGCAGCCGCTCCTGGTGCCGCCGCTCGGCCTTGGCTGTGCGCACGGGTGCTCCCGGCTCACCCCCAGCTCCCGGGTACACAGGGCTAAGCCTGTGGGGAGAGGCAAGGCATCACCACTGCCCCTCCTCCCCTACACCTTGCCCCCACCCTGCTGAAGGCCAAAGGGCTGGCACCACTGCCTGGCAGCCCCTGGGCCGGGCTGAGTCTTACCCAGACATGGAGTTGGGCCTCTGCTCAGGCCTGAAACCCTCCTCCAGCGAGTTCCTCTGGGAGCTGCTGTTCTCAGCGGCCTCGGGAAACCTGGGAACAAGACACACAGGAGCTATTGGGACTGGAGGCCTGCACGCGCTGCCATGGGTGCACAACATGGACCACCCCCTCCCACGGAGGCAGGGACCCAGGCCTCAGGCAAGTTGGCAATGAGGCTCCACAGCTCTGGATCCTGGCACAGGGGCTCTTTGTCCCCTCTGGTCCCATCTAACTGGGGCAGGCTCTGGGGCAGCACAGGCAGGGACCAGAAGGGAAAAGTCTTTGGGAGGTCACAGACCTGGGGCTCTGGTCAGGCAGAGGACCAAGGTGCCTGCAGAAGACAACACACAGGCCCGGAGGAAAGGATCAGGCAAGGGGACTACACAGGCCCTGAGCCAGGCTGTGCTCAGCTGAACACCTGCCACATGCATTTGCACAGCACAGAATAAGACCAGCCGTCCCAAGATAGCCGCATCTTGGGGAGAGCCCGGCAGAGCCGGGAACGAGGGGCAGGCTAATGGCGAAGCTGGCATGGGCTCAGTGCCCAGGCAGAGGTTTGCGGCAAATGGCTCCGTGTACTCGTGGGCAGGAAGCTGGCAGCCTCTCCTGGGACAGAACTAGGGCTGGCAATGACCTACCTGCCTTGTGCTCCCCACAGAGGAGCTGCCCAAGGACAGGCAAAGCTGCTGGCACGGGGCTGAGCGGGAGCCGTCTTACCGAGCTGTGGGGGACTGTGGGCTCCTGCCGTTCAGCCGCTCGATCTTGTACTCCACACCCTCGATGATGACAGTGGACTGCATGCTCATATCGGGCATTAGCTTCCCCACGTCCTCTTCCTCCTCCTCCTCCTCCAGCAGCATGGCCCGTTTCTGCTGCAGTTTGCGGGCTGGCACAATGAGAGGGGCCCAGGTGAGTGGGGAGAGGCCCTTACAGCCCCTTTCTCTAAGGGCCTCCCTCATGCTCTGCAGGCAAGTTCTGCCCCTACTTTGAGCCCGCTCCTGGGACGTGGTGCTCCTTGGCACCCCGGGCACAGATTCCTTCCCTCCACCCTGCCGTCCGCTCAGTAACAAGGGCTTTTCCCGTCTCCCCTTATGGCTGTGATCTGAGACCCACTATCTTCTGCACTCCCTGTACTGCTCCCTGGGCCAGGGCCCTCGCGAGGTGACAGCAGAACCTCTGGGAGGCACACACACGGCAGCCAACATGTGGCCCCCACATCAGGGCCAGACCAACAGGGGCTCACAGGCGGTTTTGCCCCCAGGCCAGAAGCAGTGTGTAGGACCCTGCCCCAGCAGAGCCCACACCAGCGCCAAGGGACAGAGTCCAGGAGGGGCCCCAGGAGGCAGGGCCCCAGGCGAGGGATGGAGCTGAGAAGCAGGCCTCATGGGGCAAGGACCTTCCTATCTCAGGAGGGAAGGTGAGGGCATAACCCCGCAGGGCTCAAGCCCAAGGGACAAAGAAGGGCTCCATGTGCCTGATTTTAAAGCTGGTCTCAAGCTTCTGCAAGGCTGACAAGGTCGAACGGTTATAAACTCCTGCAAGACAGTTTCAGGCTGGACATAAGGAAGAATTCCTTCACTGTCCGAGCCCCCAAGGTCTGGAACAGCCTGCCACCGGAGGTGGTTCAAGCGCCTACATTGAACACCTTCAAGAGCAAACTGGATGCTTATCTTGCTGGGATCCTATGAGCCCAGCTGACTTCCTGCCCCTGGGGCAGGGGGCTGGACTCGATGATCTTCCGAGGTCCCTTCCAGCCCTGATGTCTATGAAATCTATGACGGCAATTGGTTAACGCTTCACTGTAATCTCACCAGCACTGCTGGCCCTTGCTGGGGTGCAGGATGTCGGGTGTAGGGGGTCAGATTCCTTGACCCCTCCAAGAGCTGCAGGAAGGACCCTACCCCCAGGGGTGCAACCCCCCACCCCCACAGCCATGACTCCATCGCACCTTCCTCCTCTTTCATCTTCTTCAGGTCGTCTTCCCCCACCAGGGAGACGCGCTTCGGGGGCTTCTCCACCTGCTGCTGCTTCACCTCAATCTCAAAGTACTTCTGCCTCTCGCGGAAGGACCGCTGCTCGGGGCTGTGCAGCCCCCCAGGCGATGGCACCTGCAACCACCACAGTGGTGTGACAGTGACTGAGACCATGCCCTGCATCCAAGCTCCCCCCGACATATGCCCTCTGCCTGCCTTCCCTAGAGCCAGCCCCCATGGCAGGCATCCTCGTGCCATGCCTGCTTCCTCAACATGTGCCCACCCTGCTTCCCTGATCTCTGCTCCGTATCTGCAGCCTCCCTCCATCGTGCCCCATGACCGCCGTACTAGAATCTGTCCTCCCACGGCCCAGGATCAAAACCCCAGCTCCAGCCCCCGCACCAGGACGCACCTCGTGGGTGGCTTTGAATTTCTCTGTGCTCGTTTGACCATGCAACTCCTGTGGGAGAGAAGAGCATCTCATGAGAAGCAGTTCCCCACCACCGCACCCTCTCATTACAGAAACAAGTATTGCGTCGGTACAGGAGACTTCAACGTCCCAGCTAGAGACAGGAGAGCAACCGCTACCAGCAGGGCTAGGCCCCAGACAGTCACGGATGTGCCAGCTGACATCAGACTTCTCCAGCGAAGAACCAGTGAGACGTGATGCTACCTCAGACCTGGACTGGCAATTAGCAAGGATATCATAAAGAGCTGGTTACAGAAAACAACCTAGACAACACGGATGCTAATCCAGACTGGATGAATAAATAAACCCACAAGGAACCAAGGTTTCCAAAGGGCAAACAGGAAAAATGAGGGGTAGCAGGTAGTGAAGTCAAAGGTACAATAATTACCTGGACTTTGCATCCCCAAGTGCAGGAAAAATGAACATGGGAAAGCTCCAGACATACAGGATGAATACGGGCATTAAATGTAAGCAAAGAGCCCAGAAGGAATGGAAAGAGAACCTGATCAGCAGAGAAAGCTACACGGGGCAGGTCAGGATAAAATGAAAGCGGCTAACAGTCAAGCTGAATTTTACCTTGCAGATGTTATTAAAACAAACAGCAAAAGGGTCTTTAGCTAAATAAAAAATGGGGCTGCTGCGCAGCGAAGGTGGGTTGAGACTGGAGATAATCAGGAAGGGAACAGGGACCTGTTGTTCACCACATCCCAGGACACTAGAACTAGGGGCACCCGCTGAAATTAATAGGAGATGAATTTAAAATTAACAAGAGAAAGCACTTTTTTTATGCAACCCGTAGTTGACGTGGGGAATTCACTGCCCCAGGGGGTGGTGAAGGCAGAGCTCCACAAGGGACTGGATCAATTTGCGGATGATGGATCTATTAATGGCTAGTGAACAGAAGGGTTGGAGATGTTTGCTCTGGCAGCTCTGAAACAATAATAGTGGATACCAGCGAGGGCACTGATCACTCTGGAGATACCCAGTCCAATGCTCTCCCGCTGTGGCATCTATTTCTGACACTGTCAGAGACAGACTACCAGGCGAGAGGGACCGTTGGTCTGACCCAGTCTGGCCGTGCTGATGTTCTTATCATCTAAGAGCTTATCAAAAGCTTTGCCTCCATTTTCAGTAAGGAGGAGGAGGAAGCTGAGAACAGGGATGAGGGTGGGCTGCCTAATGGGAGCGAGGGTATGGAAATGGGTAGGACCAAGGTGGAGACGAGACTCAAGAAGCTGCATGCACTGTAGCCAGGGGCAATGTACAATCTTATCCCAGAACAGGGAAAGAACTGGAATAAGAAACTGCAAGTCAAGCCACAAGGACTTTTAATGGACCTGGTAAACAGGGGGCAGCAGTGGAGAAATGAAAAACAGCAAACATAGTACCTATGTTTAAGAAGGGGCAACCCAAAGCCCGTTAGTCTGACTTCAGCAGTGTGCAAGCCTTTAGAGCAAACAATAAAAAAGAATAAATTAAAGATCTAGCGGTAAACAGGAAGGGAATACAATGCAACTCAAGTTTAGCAAAGTTAGCTCATGCCAGACTAATCTAAGTGTTTTTTTGATAAGATACTGGATTTTCTAGAGAAGGGAAATGTGGTAAATCAGCCTTATGGACAGCCTGATGTGGTGCCACATGGGAAATGAGAAGTTAAGCAGGAGAAGATCAGCACAAGAAGTGTAAAGCAGGGAAAGAAATGCATCTGGGCAAGACCCGAGGGGCTGTGCTGAAATGTCAGCTAGCAGCCTGGCAGCAGGTTCCCAGTGGTATTTCTCAAGGATCAGCCTTGGGACCAACCCCGATTAGCACGGTCATGAGTGACGGTGACACAGCAGAGGAGCATGCTAATGATGGGTGGCAGACTCACAGAAACACAGTGGAAAGGGACCTCAAAGCCCTGCACAAAGGCAGGGCTGAGACACTGTCAATGTAGCTGGGGACTGGAATACCACACAGGAAGAATGGGGAAGCATGAAGGCTGATGTGACAGAAATGAAATGCATTTTCATGGGGTAAAGTACAAGGACCATTCAGGCCTAACGACAAGGATTCATGTGCTGGCAATGCCCAGCTGCCAGCTACAGAGAAGGAAGAAACCTTGGGTGTAAGAGTCGGCTGCAGGTTAAGTAGAAGCCACAGGGCTGATCCTGTGGAACAGGCTGATGCAGGGAGTAGGGGCAACAAGCAGGAGGGACCGGAGGCTGTAGTCTGCACCGAAATGATGACAGGGTGGACTCTAACTCCCATCAACACAGAGGGGCACATCTTGCTCCAGGACAGGCACAGGGGAAATGAGGAGGCATTGCACTATGTGTCAAAGCCAGGACCCGGGGGAAGAGGGTGGCAGGCTTGGTCCATGCATTTGGTGAAGATAAAGGAGGAAAAGAACAGTAACGATGTCATGGGGGGGATCAACAGGAAGAGGAGGCAGGAAGAGGAGGCAGACAGAACAGTCCCCGCAGGGGCTGGCATGAGCTGTATGATGTAGGAACAAGGAACTAGAGATGCTTTGCTTGGTGAAAGGGAGATGGACGGAGGACATGATAGCAGGTCCCAAGTATCTGAGAAGCTGCTACAAAGAGGATGGAGAAAGAGGTGTCATGGGGCAGGGCACGGGGCAGTGTATTTAAACTGCAGCACAGCAAAGTCAACTCGAAACTTGGGAGAAACTTCCCAAGTCAGAGCAGCAGGACAATGGGACGAGCTGCGCCAGGAAGCGGTGGTCTCCTTCCTTGGAGGTTTGCATGATGAGGCAGGGTGGGCATCTGTGTGGGAGGGCTTAGGAACAGCATCTGGGCAGAGCAGGCCAGACAGCCCGGGAGGCAGGGTTCTGTGACGGGCCGAGCTGTTTGCAGTGGAGCTGGGGAAGTGCCGGAAACACTGCACACCCCTCTAGGATCCAGGCATGGAGGTGAATTCACACAGGAGCGGTGCAGAGAGAGGGGCTGGGCTGAGCAGGGGAAGGGAGAGGGGTCAAGCTGAGCACAGTGAGCCCTGAGCAGGAGGGGCTCAGAAAGCTCCCATGAATACTGTGGGGGCACCGTGGGGCAGGAGACTGGAAGGACAGCTCTGGAACGAGGACAAACAGGTGTGAAATGGCCACGCACAGACAGGCTGGGAAGGGGTTTCTGGCCACACAGCAGTGACGCTCCATGACACGGACCCCGGGCAGGTGGGTGCGCCCCACTCAGGAGCAGGGTTAGATGACCTCATCCTCGTGGCCTGCAATAGCAGGTGATTGCTCGCCATGGCCCTACCAGAGCCTGTGCTGCTTTGGCACCATCCCTTGGGAACAGAGTGGCACCCCTGCCCCTGCCCTGCTCCCAGACTCGCCCAGACCCTTGTCTCGGTGTCCCCTTGTTCGCCCCTGCTGCCCCCGTCCTGCTCACCTGCGACTCCAGGAGAGGGTGGGATAGGGGCACTGCTGCAAAGGTCTTGTATGCCTGCTTGACATTGACAGGGACCTCGTCCGGAGAGGGGGGAGAGGGCGCCCGCGGCTGCAGAGAGACACACACAGGTCAGGGTAATCACAGCTGCCAAAAACAGACCAGAGGCAGAGCCGTGCCCGTGCCAGGCACCGTGAGAGCTGGGAGGATTGAAGCCCGTTCCCCAGCTCTGTGCTGAGCTCATGTTAGTGCTTCACCATGCAGATGTACCTGCGCAGCCTCATTTACCCACGAGGTGCCACAGTCTTGACAAGCGCGTCCCTCCAGAGCCTCTGTCCTGCCAGGGCCTGCAAGCCTCAGGGCAGCAGCACATGGGCACTGCTGCCCTGGTATGAACCTGAGGCGTGGACGAGTGGAGCTGCAAGCGCCCCGGCACTGACCGCGACCCTTGACTTGGCACAGTAAGGAGGAGCTGCAGGCCACTTACAGTGTTGGGGACCCCGGCGCACAGCTCAGGCAGCTGGAAGGGGTTGGGGCTGTCCCTGCCCCCCGAACTGGGCTGGGCAGCGCTCTGTCGCACCCGAGAGAGAGGCTGAATGACGCCCGGCTTGGTCTGCTTGTGCCCACACCACAGACCAGGGAGAAGGCAGAGGAAAGGGGAGGAGACAGAGAAGAGAAACAAGAGCAGTTAGGGCAGCAAGACAACCCTGGCATGCAAAAGGAGGAGGCCAGTCCTGTGGGAAGCCCCTGGGTTGCCAGCCAGTGAAAGGCAGCAGGCTGGAGAGAGGAGAAAAACCACTGCCAACAGCCCCAGAGCCTCTAGGTCTGGCAAGGACTGATACAGCCACTACCAGGCACCGGCCAGCACCCAGGGCAGCAAGGCCCACGTGCACAAGGTGAGGCGAGGCCACGGGAGGGCCCAGGGGCTCCACCCAGGGCTGAGTCTCCAGTGCAGGAAGGCAGCTGCCGGGGCAGCAGGAAGGAAGCACGGGTAGGGAAGAGCCTGCAGGGAGTGAGAGAGCCACGAGTGAGATGCAGGAGGGACCGGCAGAACAGCCAGGTGCAAAGGGAACACGTGAGCAAGCAACAGGGGGCTGGGGACAGGCAGGGGCACAAGCAGGGACAGCGGGGGCTGAGACGAGACCCCTCTCTCAAGGGTGCATGGGGAGAAGAGAGAAGGGCAGCAAGCAGGACTGACAGCAGCAGGACCACGAGCCGCAGGAGCAAGAGCCACAGAAAAAGGGAGCATATCCAGCCAGGTTCATCTGTAGCGATGGGGGGCCAGCAAGGAGCAGAGGGCATGAGGCCTGGTGGGGGGGCATGCATGCACTACGGCAAGGTCTCATGGCAGATGCACTTACCGCTTTGCTGTCATCTGGCAATGGCGCGAAGCTGATGGAAGCCTGAGAACAGAAATGGGAAGGCAGCTTAGTGGGAGCAGAAGCCCCCCACACGCCCCCTGGCTCAGCCCTGGGCTGCTCGGACCCTGCACCAGAGCTGTCCCACCCTCCCCTTCCCCAGGCCCACTGCGCACACCACAGCAGCCTGGGGCTTGCCCAGGGCACTGATCCCCACTCCATGCCCAGCCTGTCCTGGCCTTGGGGTAATGATCCCCTGTCACTGAGCTCGAGCAAAGCCACCAGCACCCCAGCTTCCCTGCCACAAAGCACTCACAGACACCACCCCAGCAGCAGCTAGCAGGTGTGCCAAGGACCTCCTGGCCTGAGCACTGCTCCCCACAGCACAGGCCTCAGCAGACACCGCTACGCCCATGAGACACAGGAGACGAGGAGCGTGCTACGAGCGGCAATGCCGGGCGGCATGGAGCGGCTATGCACACTGCACACCGAGAGGCACTTACAAAGCGAGTCTCCCTGCCTGCAAGGTGAGCAGGCCGAGGGGCTGCAGGTGACTGGAGAGGGGCAGCACCACCAGAGACAATGGAGAGGGGAGAGAACCAGAGAGACAGTGAAGAGACCAGGCTTCCTGCAGGAGAGGCAGAGAGACAAGCACCCCTTTTCCCAGAGCAGAAGTTCCCCTTCCCAAGGCCACCCCTGCAGACAGGGGCGGTCCCTACACCAGCATCTCCCCACCTGTGCGAGAGAAAAGCCTCCTCTCTGCTCCTACCCACCCATGGAGGCTCCTGCCTTACTGGAGGGCTACAGGACTTCAGGACGGGAGGAAGCACTACGACAGCCATCTGGTCAGGCCTCCAGCACAGCAGAGACCACAGAACCCACCCTGCAAGCCTGTAAGGCCAGCTGGAGCCAGACTCAGGAGTTAAAACAACAACAAAAGCAAAGGCCGGGAGTTATGAAACCTCTCAGGGGTGGACTGCAATGGGGACAGGGCATCTAAATCCCTTGGGCAGCTTTGAGATTCTCCCCCTAAATGTCCAGGGTCAAATGTGAGGAGTCTGAAGGCAAAGGCAGAGGGACCAGGCTGCCTGGCAATGGAAAAGGGCATTGGACTCCTGGCATCCCGACATGTGGCGACAGGACACGGGATGTCCAAGTGACAGGCGTGGCGATGCCTATGCTCTGCTATGGGTGCCCTCCAGGCTTCTGGGCTTTGCTGACTGCTGCATGGGGCTGGCAGAGAATCATTCTCCCCCCTTTCTGCTCCATGTGTCAGGGGGTTTTAAGCCTGTCCCAGAGGCGCTGGGTGCTGCTGCAGCCCAGGCTGGGGACGGGGCTGGGCTGGGCTGTGCCAATGCTCCTGCTAGGACCAACCCCGCAGGGTCCTGGCTAGAGGGTCTTGCCCCTCTACTCAGGGTCAGACTAACATCACATATGGGGTCAGGAAGGGATCTGACAAGGACACCAAGCACCCAGTGCTGGGAGGGTTAGAGGCAGCAAAGCCCAATGCAGTGATGGCACTGGGAGACCTCAGCCCCAGAAACATGATAGGGCAGGGTGGGGTTGAGGGAACAACAGAAATAACCACGTCTTGGATCAGCTCATTCCAAAACGCACCAAGGAAAAGCTGTTCTCGCCCGAGCAGCGAGGAATGCGCAGGACCTGCTCTGAGCTTGGACAGAGGAGCACTGCTTTGCAGTCCCACCCGCACAGCCGGCACTCATCCGCCTCCACACCCCGCGGGTACTGCAGCTTCCACCGTGGGCACCCGCAAGGCCAAGAGAGGGCACGGCTCCGCAGCTCCGAGCCAAAGGCCTTGGGCTGGGAGTGATGCCCACCAGGAAGCCCTTAAAAGGCACGGGCACCTCTGAACCAAAAGGTAAGCAGGACGGTGAGGAATGAATCTGCGGAACAGCTGCTCAAGAAGCCATTCAAGCCAAATATGGGACATGCAGGCCACAGCCTACAAGGGACTGGGTCAGAGGGGGTTGCCTAGTGTTTAGGCTGCTGAGGGAAGGCAGGAGCCAGGGGCGTCATCTAAAACAAGGGCTGAGTCAGGGTTTACAAGCCAAGTTCCCAGATCCACGTGGGAAACCCTGGGGCAGAGTCCAAAGCACAGGCTGGGTCAAGGTTCAGGAGCTGAGATCCAGGGACAGAGTCCCGAGCACAGGCAGGGGCAGGGCCAGGGGCAGGGCCTGGGAAGGGGTTGCCAAGTTGCCAAATCCAAGGGGAAGTCCAAGAGCAGAGCCAAGCAGGGCGAGCAGCCAGGAAGGGCAGGGAGCACAGGAGCAGAGAGATTTGCCAAGCAGGCCGGAGTCGGACTGCTGGCTCGCCCAGTCTGCTGCCAGAGCTGGAGCTAAATGGGGAAGCTGCTCCCCCAGCAGCCACTTGGGAGCCCAGGCCATGGCCAGCTGGAGTCCTTGGCTGGCTGGGGCTGCCAGTCACAGCCCCACTAAGCAATTAGGGCCCTGGGCAGGAACAGCTGAAGATCTTCCCCAGAACGGCCCTCCAACACACAGCCCTCAGCGCA